AGGGTGGAACTTGGGCCCATGTTTTGTTTACAAGTGAAGTGAAACCCAATGCATCATCAGGGGAACATTAAATAACACCATGCTTTGCGTCTCGACCAAGAGATAAAAGCGGGATACCATAAGGTAAAGGTTTTCCTCTGACAGGAAGTCCAGACTCTGGTGCTCATCTCCATTTCTAAGTCAAAGAGCTGGCGTTGTCCGTAGACTCCTCCAAGGTCACGTGGCCACTGGCAGGACTGCATGGAGCACCGTTACCTTCCCGCAGAAGCGGTATCTATTGATCTACTCACAATGAAGGAGGCCTCAAGGGTCTCTGAGTAAGGGGCTTTGAATGAAATTAACAGCAAAAGAGAAACATACCCTTTCTCTGACTTAAAAAGAGCAATATGGAAGAAAATGTTTTTAAGAAACAAGATGTGACATGTAGAAGGTACTTCTTACACAGGATGCTTGTGGTTAACTTCAAAGGTTGTGGTAAAGTGCAGAGTATGCATGTACAAGAAGGTACTTTCCATCAAAAGGTCAAGGGAGAAGGGCTGGAAAGAGAGTACTTTCCATGAAAAGAAAATGTTCTCTTTTGTTAAAGGTTAAAAATTGTTGATGTCAGGCAGTGGTACTTTCCCTTTTTGTTTACACTGGGCTATAAAGTTTGCAGATTTCAAGGGAAGAGCGCAGCAGTCACTTGAAGGGTAACATCTGCACATGCTGCCCAGCTGTCCGTCTTCTTCATGAAGAAACTAAAAATAAACCTTTTTTTTATCTTTCATAAAGACAGGGACTGTCTCCTTCCTTTCGTGCTCCCGCGACGTGGACCTAAGAAGACCCTGTTTAGGGTCTCTAACAACATTTGCCGTCCTGAGTCCCTCTTCGGCAGGAGGGAGGGTGTGGTGAATCCTACCTGGTAGGCTGGAAAGGGAGTCTGGATAACAGTAAGGCAGGCCTCCATTTTAGGAGGGAATGCCAGGGAGGTAGCCATCTTGAGTGAGGATGGTTGGAAGAGGGGAGGACTTTAGAGACTCCTAGGATTGCTTCAGTGAGGGTTGAGAGCTGGGAGCTGGGGTGTGAAGGTCATAGAATCATAGAATCCAAGAGTTGGAAGAGACCTCATGGGCCATCCAGTCCAACCCCATTCTGCCAAGCAGGAATATTGCATTCAAATCACCCCTGACAGATGGCCATCCAGCCTCTGTTTAAAAGCTTCCAAAGAAGGAGCCTCCACCACACTCCGGGGCAGAGAGTTCCACTGCTGAACGGCTCTCACAGTCAGGAAGTTCTTCCTCATGTTCAGATGGAATCTCCTCTCTTGTAGTTTGAAGCCATTGTTCCATTGCGTCCTAGTCTCCAGGGAAGCAGAAAACACGCTTGCTCCCTCCTCCCTGTGGCTTCCTCTCACATATTTATACATGGCTATCATATCTCCTCTCAGCCTTCTCTTCTTCAGGCTAAACATGCCCAGCTCCTTAAGCGCTCCTCATAGGGCTTGTTCTCCAGACCCTTGATCATTTTAGTCGCCCTCCTCTGGACACATTCCAGCTTGTCAATATCTCTCTTGAATTGTGGTGCCCAGAATTGGACACAATATTCCAGATGTGGTCTAACCAAAGCAGAATAGAGCATGGGGAGCATTACTTCCTTGGATCTAGACACTATGCTCCTCTTGATGCAGGCCAAAATCCCATTGGCTTTTTTTGCCGCCACATCACATTCCTGGCTCATGTTTAACTTGTTCCACGAGGACTCCAAGATCTTTTTCACACGTACTGCTCTCGAGCCAGGCATTGTCCCCCATTCTGTATCTTTGCATTTCGTTTTTCCTGCCAAAGTGGAGTATCTTGCATTTGTCACTGTTGAACTTCATTTTGTTAGTTTTGGCCATTCATCTCTCTAATCTGTCAAGATCCCTTTGAATCCTGCTCCTGTCCTCTGGACTGTTGGCTCTCCCTCCCAATTTGGTCCCGTCTGCAAACTTGATGATCCTGCCTTCTAGCCCTTCATCTAAGTCGTTAATGAAGATCCTGAACAGGACCGGGCCCAGGACGGAACCCTGCTTGTGGCACTCCACTTGTCACTTCTTTCCAGGATGAAGAGGAAGCATTGGTGAGCACTCTCTGTGTTCGTCCACTTAACCAATTCCAGATCCACCTCACCGTAGTTTTGCCTCGCCCACATTGGACTAGTTTCCTTGCCAGAAGGTCATGGGGGACCTTGTCCAAGAAGGCCTTCCTGAAATCCAGACACGCTCCACCCACGGCATCATTCCCCGCATCTACCCAGCTTGTAGCTCTATCGAAGAAAGAGATCAGATGAGTCTGGCATGACTTGTTTTTGATAAATCCATGTTGACTCTTAGCGATGACTGCATTTGTTTCTAAGTGTTTGCAGACCGCTTCCTTCACAATCTTTTCCAGAATCTTGCCCGGTATCGACGTGAGGCTGACCGGACATTGGTCATTGTTTGGGTCATCCTTTTTTCCCTTCTTGAAGAGAAAAAAGGATGAGCCAAACAACTACCGTCCGGTGTAGGTGTAGAGTTTGAAACTGGGTTTTTCAGGGAGAGAACGAGGAGAGAGAGTGTCTGTGTTAGACAGTGTTGTCAGCTGACGGGAAAAAGGTCAGACAGCAATCTGATCTCTTGTGAGAGTTAGCACAAGAGGTTGGTTCTCCAGGCTGGGTTAGTTAACAGGAGGAACTCTCGGGTAGAGAGTTCATCAACCCAGGGCCTACCTAGAGAGGCTAGTCAGACTCATCACCAATCTCCACTCCAGCAGCCAGCGCCTTGCTTTTGGCCGTTTGCCAGGACGTTGCGCAGGGGACATTGCGCAGATGTTTTGATGTTTGACCATCCTTGTGGGGGACTCCTCTCATGTCCCCTTTGCATGGGGAGCGGGAGCTGACAGGTTGGAGCTCATCCGCGCTCTCCCCAGATTCGAACCTCCGACCTGTCAGTCTTCAGTCCTGCCGGCGCAAGGATTTAATTGCGCCACCGGGGGCTCCATCATTAATAATAATAATAATAATAATGAGGATAATAATAATAATAATAAATATATTGTGTGCTACAGAAGGATGTCCCTCCTGGAAAAACTTTTAATAAACTTTTTCCCCATGTTTTAATGAGAGGGCCAATTAGGAAATGGCATTTCTAACCCAGGAACATGTTACATAGTGTGATGCATTCCTTGAAATGACAGCCAGCATTTGACGGACAGACATGTAGGCAGCAAACTCTCTTTATTATTGTTTTGTTTTTTGGTGTGGGGGGCGATTGTCATTGTGCTGGAGACAGTGGTGGCCAGCTGACCATCACGACCCTTCAAGGAAATGCTTTAAATAAAAACTCAGGACAGGAAAAGAAACGGAAACAGAGAGAGAGAGGAATCGAGGCCCACGGGACCCCCAAACCCCCCAAGTTTACAATCCCTCTTTTGCACACGCGTCTCAACCCTGTTGCACGAGAAGCTCCTTCCATTTGAAGGAACCGGCCATCTTGGATCACGGCGTCTCCAATGAAGACACAGAAGGCAGCACAGAAGGCAATGGCCAGTTTGTCCAATCCGTCGGCAGGACAGACATAGTTCCCCCTGGTGCCGATGTCTATATCCGTGGCATGTTAGTGGCACAAATGTAAACAGTGTCCAAATGCATCCTTTGATGGCCTCCTCCGCATCTCTAGATGACATCAAATTGGTGCACAGAATTGCAAAGAAGGGAGCACAAGCAATGCCTAGATCTTTCCAATCTGGTGGCAGGAGAGACATAGTTCTCCCAGGTGCCAATATTTATATTCATGGCACAAACGTGAACAGCATCCAAATGCATCCACTGATGGTCTCCAGAGCCATAGATGTGTGGAAGAGGACCATGTAGACCTGTGGGCAATGGCCAGTTTGTCCAATCCAGTGGCAGGAGAGACATAGTTCCCCCTGGTACTGATGTTTATATTCATGGCACTAAAGTGGACAGAGTCCAAATGCATCCACTGATGGCCTCCTCCACATTCCTAGATGACATCATATTGGTGCATAGAACTGCAAAGAAGGGCAACACCTAAATCTTTGCAATCTGGATACAAGAGAGACATAGTTTCCCCTGGCGCCGATATTTATATGCATGGCACGAATGTGAACAGCGTCGAAATGCATCCACTGATGGCTTCCTCTGTATCTCTAAATGACATCAAATTGGTGCACAGAGCTGCAAAGAGAAGAGCACAGGCAATGCCTAGGTCTTTCCAATCTGGATGCAAGAGAGACATAGTTCCCCCTGGTGCCCATGTTTACATTCTTGGCACAAATGTGGACAGAGTCCACTGATGGTCTCCTCCGCATCTCTGGATGACATCAAATTGGTGCACAGAACTGCAAAAAAGGGCAACACCTAGATCTTTGCAATCTGGATGCAAGAGAGACATAGTTCCCCCTGGTGCCGATGTTTATATTCATGCCACGAATGTGAAAAGTGGATGCAAGAGAGACATAGTTCCCCCTGGTGCCCATGTTTATATTCTTGACACAAATGTGGACAGAGTCCAAATGCATCCACTGATGGCCTCCTCCGCATTGCTAGATGACATCAGACTGGTGCACAGAACTGCAAAGAAGGGTGACACCTAGATCTTTGCAATCTGGATGCAAGAGAGACATAGTTCTCCCTAGTGCCGATGTGTATATCGGTGTCACGATGGTGGGCTACCATATTGGTGCATCAACGATTGTCTCTTGTGCATTTCCAGCATCCAAATGTATCCACTGATGGTCTCTTCCGCATCGCTAGATGACATCATATTGGTGCATAGAACTGCAAAGAAGGGCAACACCTAGATCTTTGCAATCTGGATGCAGGAGAGACATAGTTCTTCCTGGTGCCGATGTCTATATCTGTGGCACGACGGTGGGCTACCATATTGGTGCACAAAGAATTGCCTCTTGTGCATCTCCCGCTGATGCCACTGAAAAGTGTGAGTCCAGAGCTGGGGATGGACACCCGCCACCGTGCGCGCTCCTCATAGGGACATGCTGGTGAGGTTCTCGTGGCTGAGGAGGCCCTTGCGGGAGCTGCTTGCCCCGTGGCTGCTGCTGCAATAGTCCTGGAGGTTGTGTCGCAGGGTGACCAGGGCCGAGCCCAGGCATGCGCGGTTGGGGGCCTGCATGCCTCCTGGTAGCTGGAAGAGGACGGTGGCCACGCCGGCCATGCCGTCGTCGGTGGGCTCCAGGGTGATGGGCCCCACTCGGAAGCTGGAGTAGGAGTAGCCCATCAGGTGGGAGAGGAAGGGCTCCGAGCGGCGGAAGTGGGCCACCGGGTAGGGCGCTTCGTGGAACGGCTTCAGGCGGCTGGGCAGTGGCGGGGCGGCGGCGGCCAGAGCCGGGTGCTTGTGCGTCCGCGCTGGGAGGAAGACCAGCTCGGCGTTGGGCGGTAGAAGCGCCGCGCCCGCGGTGCCCGAAGCGTCCGGCTCGAAGTAGACGGTGACTTTGGCGAAGGGGCGGCTGGCCATCTTGGTCATCTCCTGCAGGTGGCGGCGCTGCTCGTGGCGCAGGTCCAGGAACTGCTTGACCTTCCAGAGCAGGACGCAGACGGAGAGGAAGAGGAAGAAGCAGGAGAAGAAGACAGAGAAGAAGACGAAGAGGTCGATGTGGGCCTGGTCCTGGCGGAAGAAGAGCAGCCCCTGCGACTCCGTGGCGTTGCCCCCGGGCCCGCCCACGCCCACCAGCACCACGTAGAAGCGGCTGGACTTCAGGGCGTGGATCTCGTGCGGGTAGGTGATGACCACGCGGTCCCGCACGCCCCGCACCGCCAGCACCGCCTGCTGCTCCCGCACCGTGATGTACGTGATCAGGCCGTGTGTCCACGCCTCGCGCACTGGTGGCAGTGGTTGGCTCCCGTTCTGCGACGACGACGACCGGCCGGCCGCCTCCTCCACCGGGGAGACCACGCGCACGGAGTGGATGCCCGTGGCCCGGTCCACGTCCACCACAAAGGTCTCGTAGGAGGTGGAGATGTAGACGTCCACGCCGCCAAAGGTGACGTCGATGGTGATGCGGATGTCCACGTTGGTGAACTTGGGCTGGACGCCGAAGAAGACCGTGCGGCCCAAGGGCAGGTTCTTGATGTTGGGCTCGTGGAAGCAGTTCAGCTGCGAAGTGGGGTCAAAGCAGCTCTCCTGGTCCACGATGATCAGCCGGTAGCACTGGTGGCCGCCCACCGGGTTCCCGTGGAAGAACTCACGGCACTTGGCGCACTGCGAGAGGCAGGGAGAAGCCACACGTTAGCCCAAGGAAGCTCAGTGGAATGCCCACTAGGGTTTGTCTAATGCTCCCTTGGGTTCATCTAATGCTACTCAAATCTGCCAAATGCCCACTCAAGTCTACCTAATGGCACTCACGTCTGTCAAATGCCCACTTAAGTCTATCAAATGTCCACTGGGGTTTATCTAATGGCACTCAAGTCTACCTAATGCCACTCAAGTCTATTAAATGCCCACTCGTCTCTACCTAATGCCACTCTAGTCTATCGAATGGCACTCACGTCTATCAAATGCCCACTCAAGTCTACCTAATGCTACTCAAGTGTACCTAATGCCCACTCAGGTTTATCTAATGACACTCAAGTGTACCTAATGGCACTCAAGTCTATCAAATGCCCACTCAAGTCTACCTAATGCTACTCAAATCTACCAAACGCTTACTCAGGTTTATCTAATGACACTCAAGTCTGCCTAATGGCACTCAAGTCTACCAAATGCCCACTCAAGTCTACCTAATGCTACTCAAGTCTATCAAATGCCCACTCAAGTCTACCTAATGGCACTCAAGTCTACCTAATGCCCACTCAGGTTTATCTAATGACACTCAAGTGTACCTAATGGCACTCAAGTCTATCAAATGCCCACTCAAGTGTACCTAATGCTACTCAAGTCTACCTAATAGCACTCAAGTCTACCGAATACTTATTCAGGTTTATCTAACTGCACTCAAGTCTACCTAATGGCACTCAAGTCTATCAAATGCCCACTCAAGTCTACCTAATGCTACTCAAATCTACCAAATGCTTACTCAGGTTTATCTAATGACACTCAAGTCTACCTAATGCTACTCAAGTCTACCTAATGGCACTCAAGTCTATCAAATGCCCACTCAGGTTTATCTAATGTCACTCAAGTCTATCAAATGCCCACTCAGGTTTATCTAATGTCACCCAAGTCTATCAAATGCCCACTCAGGTTTATCTAATGTCACCCAAGTCTATCAAATACCCACTCAGGTTTATCTAATGGCACTCAAGTCTATGAGATGCTCACTCAGGTTTATCTAATGACGCTCAAGTCTATGAAATGCCCACTCAGGTTTATCTAATGTCACCCAAGTCTATCAAATGCCCACTCAGGTTTATCTAATGACGCTCCCGTCTATGAAATGCCCACTCAGGTTTAGCAAATGTCACTCAAGTCTACCTAAAGCCTATCTAATAGCACTCAAGTCTATCAAATGCCCACTCAGGGTTCTCTAATAGCACTCAGTTCTATCAAATGCCCACTTATGTCTATCAAATGCCCACTGGCATTTATCTAATGTCACTCCAGTCTATCAAATGCCCACTCAGGTTTATCTAATGACAGTCAAGTCTATCTAATGGAACTCAAGTCTGTCTAATAGCACTCAAGTTTATTATATGTCCGGTTGTCTATCAAATGCCCACTCAAGTCTACCTAATGCTATCTAATAGCACTCAAGTCTATCAAAATGCCCACTCAGAGTTCTCTAATGGCACTTGATTCTATCTAAAGGGACTCAATTCTATCAAATGCCCATTTATGTCTTCTATCGAATGGCACTCACATCTACTTAATGCTCACTCAAGTCAACTTAATGCCACACAAGCCTATGTAATAGAACTCGAGCCTATCAAATGCCACTCAAGTCAATCGAATGCCACACTTGAGTTTATCCAAAGCCTACTTGAGTTGACTGAATGCCACTCAGATTTATCTAATGCTCACTCAACTTTAGTGAATGAAACTCAAGTCTATTGAATACCCACTCCAGTTCATCCAATGCCCAGCTGAGTACCAGGTGCCCACTCAGGATTATCTCATGCCCACTGGACTACCTAATGCCCACCTGCTGCTTGTAGCAGTCCTTCTTGTCCGCCTGGGCGCTGTTCTGGCATCCTCCGGTCTCCGTGTTGTTCTGGCAGGGGCAGCCCGTCCCGTCCAGCTCGTTGCAGGAGTCTGCGTGGCCGTTGCATTGGCACCTGTCCAACAACAACAACATTGGTTAAGCAACCGAACTGCTTAACCAACTGACTGATAGCAGATTCAAGGCTGAAAAGAAATCATTCCTGGCTGCTTGGGATATAAAGTAGATTAGGGGATATAAGTGCCAAGTACAGAATCTGTAGCCAGACGAAGCAACGTTGGAATTGAGTCCTTGTATCAAGTGCCTTGTTATTTCCATGCAGAAGTGCCTTGTTTGATTCATGCTCAAGTTTGGGGGTTTTGCCTTAGAAGTTCTAGTATTTGTTGTCATGAACTCTGACGGACTATTTCCTGGATTTGTTGTTCCTATCTTCCTTTTCTACCTACTTGGATTTACCTATTTTTGTGGATTGCTTTTTTAACCCATGGATAAAAATCCCATTCCCATTCCCTTCAGGTCCAAAAGGCAGCCTTGCTTTTCAGTGTGTTTCATTCATCTGCAGTAGGCTTGGGCGGTTTCGTTCGTTAATTTCGTAATTCGTTATTAATTCGTATTTAAATTAGCTTACGATCCAATATTGAGCCATGCAGGAATAGTGTGAGGAGTAAATTAGATTCGAAACAATTTTTTCAATTTATTTTTCGTAATTATTTCGTAATTATTTTCGCATGTCTGGTGCAAGTTTTATAGTTGTTGTTTGTTTTATCACACCAACAGTCAACAACAGAGGGAGAGGGAAGCTTCAGAAGTTCCCCCTGTCCCATTTGGAGGTTTTTTTTTAGCATATTGCGCAATCGCGTCCGCCATTAACGAATCGATTCGTAATTATATGAAATTTCGTATATTTCGAAATTTTTAAAAGGAAAATTTCGGAATTATTAAAAAAAAACACAAGGGCCCCCTAAAAACAAAACGAGTTTAGAACCAAATTTTTCCGTGGTTACCCAAGCCTAAATGCAGTTCCCGGGCGCATCTATATATAAAAAAATGTGGACGTCGTCGTGAGTGGCTTAAAAACGTAAAAAAACACAGGACCAAATATCACCAAATTTGGCCTTGAAATGCCTCATACCCCAAGGTATGACCAACAATCATAAAAATTAAAATAAACCACCAAAACAAACTCACAAAATCTAAAAAAAGGAGAGGACAACACGGAGCATGCGCACAGGGGTGGGGAGGGTGCACGCGCGCAGAGGAGCTCCTCCATTGTCTCTCTCTCTCTCTCACCTCGGCTAAACAGTCCTCCTTGCTCTGGCCACTTGCTTTCCCCGCTCCCATACTGCTATAGAATAATGTTCCTAATGGGAAGGCAATGGGAAGCTGGAGCATCCTCTCTCCCCAATGGCTGTGCCTGGAAAGGGAGGGAGGAGCCCCCCACCTCCGGAGGCCTCCCTCCCCAGCCGGGCGCCTCCTCCTTGCATAATCCCTGGGAGGGCGCCTGGGGAGGAGGAGGCGCAGAGACCCCCATCATCCCGGGGGAAAGGGCGAGGGGGGGCCCGGCTCCTCCTCTGCAGGCAGACCCGCCTCCTCCGCCTCAGCTTCGAAGGCCCCGCCACCGCCGCCGCCGTGCCTGACATCACCGCCCCGCAGGTTGGTTGCGGGAGAGGCGCGCTATTGGCCGCAGACATGCCGCCGCCGAAAAGGGGCGGGCCAAGCAGGACGCCCCGGTGAAGGAGGCCCACAACGTCGCCTTGGCAACCATTTCTAAGCCCAAGAGCCGGCGTTGTCCATAGACACCTCCAAAGTCATGTGGCCTGCGTGACTGCATGGAGCACCCATACCTTCCCGCCAGAGAGGTACCTATTAGGCTTGGGTAACCACGGAAAAATTTGTTTCTAAACTCGTTTCGTTTTTAGGGGGCCCTTGCGTTTGGTTTTTTTTAATAATTTCGAAATTTTCCTTTTAAAAATTTCGAAATATACGAAATTTCGTAAAATTACGAATCGATTCGTTAATGGCGGACGAGATTGCGCAATATGCAAAAAAACCCTCCAAATGGGACAGGAGGAACTTCTGAGGCTTCCCTCTCCCTCTGTTGTTGACTGTTGGTGTGATAAAACAAACAACAACTATAAAACTTGCACCAGACATGCGAAATAATTACGAAATAATTACGAAATAATTACGAAATAAATTGAAAAAATGTTTCGAATCTAATTTACTCCTCACACTATTCCTGCATGGCTCAATATTGGATCGTAAGCTAATTTAAATACGAATTAATAACGAATTACGAAATTAGCGAACGAAACCGCCCAAGCCTAGTACCTATTGATCTACTCACATTTTCAGGTTTTCAAATTCCTAGGTTGGCAGAAGCTGGGGCTAACAGCAGGAGCTCATGCCGCTCCCTGGATTCAAACCTCCAACCTTTCCGTTACCAAGTTTCACAGTTTAACCCACTGTGGGCTTCAGCATAACACATACACACACACACATATACACACACAAAACACATATACACAGATTGGGCCACAGCAACGCGTGGCAGGGGACAGCTAGTATATATATATATAGAGATGGTCTCGATGTGCTTACTTGGTGCACTTCCCCTCCAACAGGAAGAAGCCGTGGAGGCAGCTCTCGCACTTCTCCCCAAAGCTGTTGTTCTGGCAGTTCACGCAGACCGCCGTGTCCTCCGCCGGCCCTTCCGACACCCATTTGGGGATCTGAGGGGGGAAAAGGGGGAAACGCATGGGACCCTTGCATGCTCCGCCATGCGCCCATTTCCCAGCCAACATGTTCTAGCAGCATTTGCTCCTGACATTTTGCCCGCATCTATGGCTACTGGCATCTTCAGAGGAACTTGGCCACAGTGGTCCACGGTCTGGTTACATCCCGTATAGACTACTGCAACGCGCTCTACATGGGGTTGCCTTTGAAGACTGTCCGGAAACTTCAACTGGTCCAACGCAGGGGTCCTCAAACTTCTTAAACAGAGTATTAAAAAAAACTCTAAGAATAATTTACAACAGCAAAACAGCAGAGAGGAAACAAACAAGCACAGCTTAACACATCTCAACGAAAGATTCTCCCAGGCTCAGCCAGGACTTCAAATGCTAATGAAGGTGGTCAGTTGAAACATTCACACCTAGCTCCAGCAGACAAGTCCTTTGTCCCACCCTGGTCATTCCACAGATATATAAACCCATTTTCCTAGTTCCAACAGACCTCACTACCTCTGAGGATGCTTGCCATAGATGCAGGCAAAACGTCAGGAGAAAATGCCTCTAGAACATGGCCATATAGCCCGGAAAAACCCACAAGAACCTAAATTTATTCGTATTTCAGTGGGAAGTGTGGGCCTTCTTTTGGCTGATGATAGGATTGTTGTTGCTGCTGCTGCTGTTGTTGTTGTTGTGTTTTCAAGTTGTTTCAGACTTAGGTTGACCCTGAGTGAGGGCCGGGTAAATGACCTTGGAAGGCCGTATTTGGCCCCCGGGCCGTAGTTTGAGGACCCCTGGTCCAACGTTTGGCAGCCAGGTTACTAACGGGAGCGGTGGATTGTATTATAACAATCTGGATCTTGCTTTTGGAGTTTGCGAAACCCTACCTTGGGATACTTCGTTCCTGCTTATCTTCCTACCTTATTGGACTCATCTATTTTCTGAAAGCATATTTTTACTTGGCTGTTTTTACTTATCTTCTATATAAATAAAAATGTCATGTT